TTTGAGAGATGCTTGCTAGAGGCACAGGCAGGTAGCAAGGGTCAGGCATAAGCTATGGGAAAAGGCAGGTGTGAAAAGCAATGGATAGGCAAGGGACAGGCAAGAGTGGTAGTCAGGGAAAGTAGAAATCAAGAAGCCAGCCGTGTACCAAAGACACAGGACAGAATGTGGGAACAGGAACAATAGTTATTTTCTGAGTGTTTTTCAAGGATCAGCTTTGTATCTCTTGTACTGTGTCAACAGCAGGATAGGCCTTTAGTGAATATAAGTGAATGATTGAGTTGATAAGTATGAAGACTGTAGAACCAAATATGAGTGGTGATGAGAAATGTGAGTTGTGATGCTCGCCACAGTATTACTTATAAAGGAGAAACTTAAATATGCAAAAGTAGGAAAAAGATTTGTATGTCCTGATGTGTCCTAAGTGGGTATTTAATATTTTCAAGCAATATTTAATGACATGAGAAAAGGCGGGCCTGGCCTGGTGGCCCAGCTGGTTGGAACATTGTACTGTACCCCAAGAGGGTGCTGGTTCCCTCCCTGGTCTGGGCGCACACAGGAGGCAACCATCCATGTTTCTCTCTCACATCAGGGTCTCTCTCTCTCTCAAATCAGTAAACGTATCTTTGAGTGAGAACTAAAAAAAGGAAAGAAAATGTGGGAAAAACCCTTTATGTGAAACTGTAGGTACAGGGTGGGGCAAAAGTAGGTCTACAGTTGTTTGTATGGAAAGTAAGATAATAATTAATAAATAATAACACAAGAATAAACTGTTTCACATACTTACAACTGTAAACCTACTTTGCCTCTTCCTGTACAATCCATTTCCAATTATCTAAAACATATATGTGTGTATAAGTGTGTATTTTGGCAAATGTATCTGTTTCTCTAAGGATATACACTAAGATGATAACCATGGTTAACCTTGTGGCATGAACAGAAGTGGGACTTTTATGTTCTTCATGTGTTTTTAGATTTTTCTATTATTTATTTATTTATTCATTTATTTATTTTTAATTTTAATCATTGTTCAAATACAGTTTTCTCCCTTTTACTCCCATTCCAGCCCACCCACCCAACCCTCCCCACTTCCCTCCCATTACCACCCTCCTCCTAGTTTTTGTCCATGTGTCCTTTAAATTTGTTCCTGTAAACCCTTCCCATTCTCCCCTGAAATTCCCTCTTCTCTCCCCCTCTGGTCACTGTCAGCCTGTCCTCTATTTCAGTGTCTTTGGTTATATTTTGCTTGTTTCTTTGTTTTGTTGTTTAGGTTCCTGTTAAAGGTGAGATCAAATGGTATTTGTCTTTCACTGCCTGGCTTATTTTGCTTAGCATAATGCTTTCTAGCTCCATCCAAGCTGTTGCAAAGGGTAGGAGCTCCTTCTTTCTTTCTGCTGCATAGAATTCCATTGTGTAAATGTACCATAGTTTTTTGATCCATTCATTTACTGATGGGCATCTAGGTTGCTTCTAGCACCTAGCTATTGTAAATTGTGCTGCTATGAACATCGGGGTGCAAAGGTTCTTTTGAATTGGTGTTTTAGTGTTCTTAGGATATAGTCCCCGCAGTGGAATTGCTGGGTCAAAAGGCAGATCCATTCTTAGTTTTCTGAGGAAGTTCCATACTGCTTTCCATAGTGGTTGTACCAGTCTGAAGTCCCACCAACAGTGCACTAGGGTCCCCTTTTCTCCACAACCTCTCCAACACTTGTTATTTGTTGCTTTGTTTATGATGGCCATTCTGACTGGTGTAAAGTGGTATCTCATTGTGGTTTTAATTTGCATCTCTCTGATAACTAGCGATATTGAACATCATTTCATGTGTCTTTGGATCCTCTCTATGTCCTCCTTAGAGAAGTGTCTGTTCAAGTCCTTTGCCCATTTTTTAGTTGGGTTGCTTGTCTTCTTAGAGTGCAGTCTTGTAAGTTCTTTATATATTTTGGAGATTAAACCCTTGTCTGAGGTATCATTGGCAAATATGTTTTCCCATACAGTTGGTTCTCTTTTTATTTTGATACTATTTTCTTTAGCCTTGTAGAAACTTTTAATTTTGATGAGGTCCCATTTGTTTATTCTTTCCTTTATGTCCCTTGCTCTAGGGGACAAGTCAGTAAAAAAGTTTCTGCATGAAATATCTGAGATTTTCCTACCTACATTCTCCTCTAGGACTTTAATGGTGTCACAGTTTATATTTAAGTCTTACCCACCTTGAATTTATTTTTGTATAAGGTGCAAGTTGGTGCTCGAGTTTCATTTTTTTGCACGTAGCTGTCCAGTTCTCCCAACACTATTTGTTGAAGAGGCTATTTTTACTTCATTTTATGTTGCTGCCTCCTTTGTCAAATATTAATTGACCATAGAGACTTGGGTTTATTTCTGGGCTCTCTGTTCTGTTCCATTGGTCCATGTGCCTGTTTTTATGCCAGTACCAGGCTGTTTTGATTACAGTGGGCTTGTAGTATAGTTTAGTGTCAGGTATTGTGATCCCTCCTACTTTACTCTTCTTTCTCAAAATTGCAGATTTTTCTATTTTTTTCAGTGATCACAAACCCCAAGTTTTTCACACACATACACACAGTTTTCTTTTTGCCATGAGAAAGACATTTGGGTTGTGTCATATTGGGATAGCTTTGGTTTCCAGCTCATACTTTTAAAAAAATTTCCTCACTGCCTGCGTGAAGTGAGCCTGAAGGTCCGTAGGCAGCAGAGGCAGACATGAATTACAGGAGCCATAGTTGTTCTTTACCATGGAAGACACGAATTCAAGAACCCACTTTAATTCGTATGGCAGTATCTAAGGCTCCATGGGAAAATCTTTAACAAGTTACATACTTGGGAAGGAGGCCTGGCTGCTGCAGGGTATCAAGGAAAGGACCAGAAAGCTTGGAGCAGCAAGAACAGGAAAGTGAAGAAGGAGTGACTGCCCAGAGGATCTGCAGCTTTGCCTGCCCTTTGACCTTTGGGAGGGATAAGACCTGGGCTGAGAGGTCCAGCTGGTTGCAGTGGTGTTCTGCACACCAGAGAGGCCGAGGTCAGCGTGCATCCTGATCCAGATGTTCTCTCTCATATCGATGCTTCTCTCTCTCCCTCCCGCTTCCTCTCTCTCAAAAATTAGTAAACATATCCTATGGTAAAGATTAAAAAAATACATGGGCCAATAACAGGAGGGAAATGTTAATACATAAAAATATATATTATACCTTATACACTCACACATACATACATACTGCTGGCTAAGTTTTTAGGGGTTTGAATTTTCTAGTGCTGTGGAACATATATTTGCAGAAACATGGGTTTTAGCTGTCTTTCCCATAATTGCTAAAAAAGAAAATCATAAAAATATTCAACAGTTTAGAAATGCTTAAGTGAGTCATGAAATATCAATGTCATTAAAAAGAAATATGTGCACTTTTCCATTACAGGGGTATCCATTTCCCTACTAAAGTACACGTTCTAGAAAGGCAGAAAATATAACTGTTGTGTTCACGTCTTCATCCCCAGCAAATATAGGGCTTGGGTACACTAACTGTCGAATCAGTGAATGTGGAATGTTTTTCGTTATGCTCTTCTGTGTGTTTAAAGTAGTTCATAATGAAGAAAAACGAAAAACAAAAGAATTCACCTACCCTCATTTCTACTGTGTAATATTTTGCTTATTAATAAGGATTCAAAGAGGATCTTTTGTTTTATATTTTAAAGTATTTTCCTTTAAATTTGTTAGTATGATGGAAATAGTAAGAGCAACACATACTTTTTGCCCTTCTACAATATTGGGAGCTGCTATGTGGTGCAGATGCCTCTTTGTTCCAAGTGTCACAGTCCACAACCCCTGACTCAGGATCCACTGTCACTCCAGCTGGGGGGAGGGCAGATGAGGTGTTAGGATTATTTCACAGATGAAGCCAAACATCCACAGGTAAGAAAGGAAGAGGGGAAACGTGGCCGCTCCTCTTACTTGGTAAATACCACTTGTTGGAGGAGGAGAAAGGGGAGAGGAAAAGACAGAAGCTGCCCATATGGGGTCAGCGGTAGCTTCCCCCTGTTCATCCACATTTCTCCACAGTTTGGGCTCTGCTCTCTCCAAGGGCTAAGACCTGGGGACTTGTCCAAGGCCTTCTGTTAATTCCATTTATCTCAGGGTTTAGTAGATTTATATTCTGCCATTTTTTATTTAATTTTATATTATAAGTAATTTCCTTCATGGCCACAAATTTATTATATTTATTATTTACCCTTTAAACTCACTATGGCCTTCCTTAAAAAAACTTTTATTGTGAAATAAAGCATATATTCAAGGATAGAATGAACATAGGTGTATGTGTATAGATACGTATGTGAGAGTATAAGACTACCAAGAATGTAGTTACTAATGGGACAGAGCCCCAAAGTATCCCTGCTTTAAAAAAAATAGTCATTATTATTTTCAGAGCAGTTTTAGCTCCACAGCAAAATTAAGCACATGGTACAGAGAGGTCCCATAGACCACCGGCTCCCATGAATATACAGCCTCCCCTTTATCAGCATTTCTCCGTAGAGTGGCGCATTTGTTACGATTGGGGAAACTACACAGGCACATCATTATCGCTCTGGTCCACAGTTCACACAAGGTTTCATGCTTGCTGTTGGACATTCTGTGGCATTGGACAAATGTACAATGACGTGTATCCAATATTGTACTATCACAAAAGGCAGTTTCACTGCCCTAAAAATCCTCTGTGCTGTCAATTCATCTTGGTTGCTTCTGAATTTTTTTTTGGGGGGGGGTCTTTCAACTATTTTATATTTATCACACACACACCACCAACAGCCATCATTTTCACTTTATAAATGAGAAGTTCAAGTCAGGTAACAGACCAAGGCCTCTAAGCGCTGGTGCTAACTCTTGCATACTTTCTTTCTCAGGGGAGTTGGCAGAGGAGCCGAGGCCCTCATAGCTTTAACTCCTAGAACCTGCAGGTTTCTGACACACAGGTAGAGGTGCCAAGAACCTACACCAGACCAGAAGACAAAAGCACTTGTGAACATTTAATGATTTCCCATCCATGTGGCTTCAAGCTACCAGCACACAAGCCCCACCAACACTCTTAATCTTCTCCTCAGCTCTTCTGCTGAAGAATTTGGCTTTCACAATGACAGGCTGCTTTGGGAGCTTTCCCTTCCCCAGAACTTTGTAGTAGACTGATCGCACCACATCAATGATGGGAGCGGCTCCGGTCTTGTTTTTGGCAGCATTGACCCGCGTCTGCTCACTGACCAAGGTCCATAGTTTATCCAGGTTGACAGTGGGGCAGAAGCTCTGGTTCCTCTTTAAGTGGTAGTGTCTCATACCAACTTTCCCAAAGTGACTTGGGTGATATTTGTCAAAGTTGATCCTGTGATGATGCAAGCCACCAGCATTACCTTGGCCTCCTGGGTGCTTCCTGTGCTTACTGATGCGGCCGTGGCCATGGCTCACGTGGCCCCGAAGTTTCCAGGTCTTCCTCAGTCTGGATGGCATGTTGGCGGCCGAGACGCAAAAGCTGCTTCTGAATTTTTAAATTATGAGTAAAGTGGCTAGAGAGATCAGCGTCCAAGTTTTGAGCGGGATAAGTTTCATACGGGCTGTGTGATTGCTGCATCAGATGTTGACAGTATGCTTACTTTTGTAAGAAGCCATCAAGTTGTGTTTCAGAATGGGTGTACTGTTTTGCATTCTCAACATTAGTGACTGAGAGCTCCTGATGCTCAACCTCCTTGCCAGCATTTGATGTCGTTAGTGTTTTTTTTTTTGGCTTTGGGGCATTCTCATAGGTATGCAGTTGTATCTTGTATTAATTTAGAATTTCCTAAAAACATATGGTGTTGCACATCTTTTTACATGGTTGTATGTGATCTATCTTCTCTCTGAAATGTCTATTTAGATCTTTGCCTTGTTTTTACTTGGGTCATTTGTTTTCTTATAGTCAAGTTTTAAGAGTTGTTTGTATATTTTGGATAATAGTCTTCATCAGCTGTGTGTTTTGAAAATATTATTTTCTCAGTCTGTTGCCTGTGTTCTCATCCTTTTGACAGTGTCTTTGCAGAGCAGAAGTTTTTAATTTTAATGAAGTTCAGCATTTCAATCTTTCTTTTGTGGATTGTGCTTTTGGTATTGCATTGACAAAGACACTGCCATACCCTGGGTCACCTAGGCTTTCTCCTGTATTATTTTCTGTGAGCTTTCGTTTTGCATTTCCCATCTCGGTCTATGATCCATTTTGAGTTAGTTTTTGTGAAGGGTATGAGGACTGTGTCTAGATTTATTTTTTTGCATATGGAAGTCCAGTTGTTCTGGCATCATTTGCTAAAAAGACATTCTTTTCTTCATTGTATTGCCTTTGCTCCTTTGTCAAAGAGCTGTTGACAGTAACTACTTGGGTTTATTTCTGGACTCGCTGTTCTGTCTCATGAATCTGTTTTTCTGTGTCCTCACTAATGCCACATTGTCTCAATCACAGCAGCCTTAAAATGAGTGTGAGATTGGGGAGCCCTTCTCTTTTTCGATTTGAACAAGTTTAGGTGGTCAGGGAAGATTGATACCAAAAATGTTCATCTTTTGTACTAAAGAGGCTAGGTTTGAAGATTTGGCTTAAGACATTTTGGTCAAGTGTGTGTGCTAATTCTGAATCTGTAATCAAGAAAAACTCTCCACCCAGACACAGGCTGTGTTCGGATACTCAGCTAAGCCTCTTCACTTCCCTGTGTAAGGGCTGTGTGAGCGAAAGGATAGAAAAATGCCATGGTTTCAGTGTCCCAGTTCCTAGCACCAGAAAGAGGCAGTGGAAATGGGCAGAAATTACCTACTGATAGTACTGTTAAAAAAAATATGAATGCCTACCAACCAGCTTCAGACATAGACTTACAAGTACCTAAGAAGTCCCTTTTGTGCTCCTAAATAATTGTATCTCCTTTCTTCCCCCACCAAGGTTACTATTATCCAGACCTTTACATTAATCATTCCATTTCTTTTCTTTAGCTTTGTTACTTATCACATATATATTCTTATGTATCTCTAAATTACATGTACATGTCTGATTGTTTTCTGGGTCCATGAACTTGGGTGGGAAAAACATTACATTTTTAATTGTGTTATCTTGGTTTCATGAGTTTCACTACTTTGCTGCCTTCAATTATAAATGCTGATAATAAGCCAGTATTCTGATAAATGGGCCAAGGGCTTCACCAGGTTACCAAAGGCTCTTGGCACTTTCCTGCCAGGGTATGTTTCTAGGAGCAGTATTGCTGGGTCTTAGATAACATGTGTTTTTTACACGGTTATGGGGAAACCCTCAGAAGCTCCATTCTAGCCTTTCTCACCAGGATCGCTCATCTGCCACAGAACATAGACAATAATGTAACTCTTCAGTTCTTTAAAGGATGGTGCATAACCAGGCTATTCAACATGGGTAAGACTGAAGTTAATTCACTGTACAATGAATCCCTTAGGGCATTAGGGCTTACTTCTCTGGTGGAACCTAAGTGTTGCCACCCTGTTCCTGACTGGGAGCTTTTCTTTCTGGCACTGGGTGTAATGGAGTCAGACTGATTTGGGTTTTGACCCTGGCTCTGCCACTTCATATGTATGTGATTTTGAGGTTCCTTAATCCTGCTCCCTCTCTGTGTGCACACTGTAAAATTGTTGTGAGCGGAAATCAGGCTCTTCCACGGGATCACAAGGAAAGCATTGCAAGGACCCACACACTGGAGATTGTGGTGTGGTATGGTTTATTTGGGTAGAAATAGAAGCTACAACCCCCCACCTCCGCCCCGCCTTCCCACCCCCGGTTTCCATTTTCCCATCTCTGTCTGTCCTGCCTTGAAAAAAGTCCAGCTGTAACCTCAGGAAGGCCCAAAGCAAAAGCCAGTGCAGAGTGTCTGTTTCACATTAAAGCTTAGTCCTTTGGAGTCCATGCAGTCTGCTGAGGGCCCTGGTAGCTGCTAGACCCTTGTGGGTGCACGCTTCCCTGCAAGAGAGAATGCATGGAGCAAGTGCAGGTGAGAGAGAGGGAGATTCTTTGTTCCTCTGGGGTTATAACCAGGATCTTGAGTTTGGGATGGGCAAGATGTTTTTTTTTAAATTGGGCAGTGAGCTTCCCAAGTTTTCACAGACTTTGGATTGGTTCACAGCCCCTGGTTAGACTGACAGGCCTCTATGGGCCCCCAGCACCTCCTCCTGCACCTCCCAACCATCAGGTAGTGGAGGGGGGAAGGGAGGAGTGTTCGTCCCCTTGGCTGAGCAATGCTGTGGTCCCCTGGGGTGTGAAGCTGTAGCTTCCTGGTGAAGCAAACAGGCTCATGCCCCCAGTTTATTAAGGTAAATGTCTAATTCCCTTTGCTCTCCTTTTCTTTATTTATAACCTGTTAACTACAGACAGTAACACAATGATGGTGTTATGGACATCTTGGCGTTATTTGAAAATTAAATAAAATATTTTGTGTGGAGTAACTGGCACATCTACTGGCACAAAGTAGGGTCACTAACAGTTGTTTTTTTTTTCTAACCACCATTCCCTAGATTATTAATAATCAGAGACATGGATATTAAGATAGAGTTAAATTTTCCTTCTTTCCTTCCGTCCTTCCTTGACATGCTGAGACTTGTTTTTAATTTCATCTTTATTATTCCAGTATGATCGTATTTGATTTTGGTGACCTCCATATTGCTGTGACGTTCTGTAGGTCGGACTTTGCTCAGGCTTAGTGGCAGAGTTAACACTAGTCACTGGCAGCTGTAGAGAAGATGACGCGTTCTGGGCTTGCCGGCTGCTCTTTCAGTGTCTCAGTGCCCCGTCCTTCGGTCCGCGCCACCACCTCTACAAATCTTCAGTCTTTGAAGGAATCTTTCTCGTCTTTCACTAGGCAGTTTCTGTGTGCCAGCTCATAGTCTTAGTAATTTTGTATTTAATTTCTCTGGATTTGCTTGGTGTTTGCAAAGCTAGTGTAATTTCCCTAGATAAGATATAATTTACAACCGAATGACACCTCACAATTTAAATAGCAGCTGTGAAGGGCAGGCAAAGCATTACAAGCTACTCTTTCTGTTCCTCTGCACAAGAGCTATGCTGTGATGAAATGAATAATGTTTTTTAGGTGGTACCTGGGTTTGCTACTGTGGTTTGATTTACATGGACAAACGGAAAAAAACTCATTTGAATTCATTTTCAAATGCAGCACAATTCTCCTGTGAGAGCTTTTAGAAAGAATAGCTGTCTTGTTACTAAGAGAAGGAAATTCTTTGTTTGTTCCTATAATGGCCCATCATCTACTTTTGGGGGAGGGAGTTTCTTTAGAAAGGTGAGAAGTTATATGCATCGTTCATTTCTAAAGTACTTATTGAACACTTTTTGTATGTTAGGTACTTAAAATTTAAAAAAAATTTCCCAGCTTTATTGATAAAATTGTATGTATTCAACATGTGCAGTGCGAGGATCTGACACAGGAATGTGGAGAGTGCATTGTAAACAGGACAGATTCTGCCCTCGGGGAGCAGATGGCTTGCCCTGCCCAGAGGTTGTTTAAGTTTGGTCCCGAGCTCAGCCGTGGAGGACACTGTGGGTGCAGGGATGACTGTGGTTCATAGACGGTGAATAGCCTGTTGTTGGAAAAACCTTAGGTTTTATAAATGTTTCCTTTGATATTCCCCTTGGCATTTAATGAGACAGTTTAAAATAAAATGCTGCCTAATTTCATTTGAGCTGAGGAGAGTACAGAAAATCTCTCTTCCCATCCCTGTGCCAGTTCAGAGGGAGGAGCTCTAGACTGTTGAGGGAGGGGCACGTGGGTTGCAGCAGGTGAAACACCCACAGTGGAAACTGAAACTCAGTGGGATAGTCAGGCTGCCGGATCAGCCCCTTGTTATACTGGGAGCTCTCCTTCAGCGTCTGGTCTGTGAAGGCTTGGGCATCTTTTTTCCTGATGAGAGACTTTATACACTGGATTTGTGTCTCAATAGAAACATTACAAAGTTGAAATATTTCAGATCCATTATGCAAGAAGGACTATGTTTATAGGGAAAAGATAGTGTTAAGGGAATCCTTTTGTTCCTCACCAAGAGTCATTGATTTAACAAAAGTGATCAGTTGTCCTGCAAAAACAATCAACAAACACACAAAGAGGGGAAGAAAGTAACATTAACAATCATCTGTTGTGGACGAGGCAATATTTGGTTATTTCTAAATTTTCACATTCAACTAAACTTTTAACAATGAGGAGACAATGTCTGTTAAATGAGTACTTAAATACACTTTTATGTGCTATGTATGTCTCATTAATGAAGAAAGAAGAAGTGGGGGGTGGGGAGGAGTGACACAGGTGGGAGGAGAGGATGAGAAGGAGGCCTCAGAGACAGAGATGGAAGAGAGAGCCAGGTGGGGGGAAAGGGGCTGGGAGGAGAGGTAGACTATTAATTTGGGCAATTTTCTTCAGGATCAAATTGTAGTTACAATAATTGCCCTTTGGAATTCTAATTAATGAATAAAT